CTTTCTAAATTTGGCATTCTTATTCTCTGCAATTTCAGTTTTACATGTAATGTATATTTCCTCTTGATTGTTAAATATAGTGATAATCTGTGATTTTCTGATTGGATATTCATACCCTACATATTTTAGGAAGGAAGATACACCATTTTTTTGTTTGAAAAAGTCTATTTCCTTGCTGGCTGTCTATTCAGAAACCAGGTCTGGATCGATGAAAGCTTTTCCAGCCCTGAAAGTTTCATAATATCCTTGGTGTTTCTATGGAGTGGTTGATGTTTCCTGTTTGTTTTTCTGGCTCTAATAGTTGTATCTAATCTATTTAGTGATACTTGGGATGCCATCTTTGACTGGAAATTCTAGGGTAGTTTCATTCTCAATGATGTTTACTGTATCCAATAAAAGTGCTCTGCTGATTCTGAGACTGGTCTTGTACTTCTTCTCTGTTTCTTGCATGTTTGGATCAATATATATCCTGTTTGCTTGGTTTCTATCCTCTTTCTCTTTTTTCTTGTCTGATGGTTTCTTCTGGTTAGCTATTCTAATTTCTAGGGGTATATGTCTAAGTTACGAGGGGGGTGCTGTTGCTTTAAGTTTCTGGATTTTTCCATTGATCCTATCAATATTATACTCTAGTGTTGTCTGCCTTGCAAGACTTCTTAGTTGACTCATAAAAGCCATCTTGAAGGCTGCTACTACTTGGTAATCAAGATAGAGTTCATTTTTATATTTTTGTCATAAAAGAAAATTTTTTCAGTTTTTGAAATTTTTGAAAAATAGTTTTTTTTTTTTTTTGGAATATATTAAATAATATGAAAGTTTATTGAGATTATTAATAATTGATTAAATTTTCTGTTATTTCGTTCAAAAATTGTTGGCAATTTTTTTTTACAGTTTTTACAAAATATCTAATATCTTTTTTTATTAATTTAATAATTTACAAAACTTAGAAATGATACTAGTTTATTGATTTGTCTTATATCTTTCAATAAAATCATAAATTGTTATTTTTGGATAATTAAGAATATATTTAATATTGTGCTCATTGTGATTACCTTTTTACAGGCCAATAATTTCATCACACTCAAAATCAGTAAGTTTATGAGTTTTAAATATAATTTTTTTTTATTTTTGAATAAAGAAAGTTTGTAGTTATCTAGGAAAATAATTTTGATGCATTTTTATGCATTAGATTTAGAGTTATTCATAGATAAAGTTTGATCCTTAGAGTAGTAATCTTCATGTGGTCAGATACTTTTGTCAGGTGAGTGTAACACGTAATCTAAACTTTTATCACGTGAGTACATTTCATCGACACAGGCACGTGATTCATCACACATAATACTTATTTGGGCATCTCCGTTAACCTGATGATCAGTACTGTTGACTTTGTACTATGGCCCTAAAATTTTTTGAAAAATTATCTACCGACTTTGCTGGACTTCTTAAAGATGATGACTGCGATGTAGTTGTTGAAGTCGGCGAGGCGCCTGTAAATAAAAAATTCAAATTGCACTCCCTTATTTTAAAAGCTCGCTGCCCCGTCATTTTTAAAGAGCTAAAAGATGTCGAAAAAAGTGTTACCATTAAACAACTTAGAAAATCCGATATTTCTGCTGATATTTTTGAAATTATTTTAAAGTAATTATTACTTTATCTTATAATTTTTTATGTTATAAATTTATTAATAATTTTACTATAGGTACATTTATGGAGCCATTCTTTCATTGGATAAGTTGGAAAAGTCAATGATATTGAGTTATTACTTTCTGCTGATAAACTTAATCTTGAAGAATTAGTTGACAGTATTGAAGGATTTCTAGTCGAAAATAATTCTGATTGGTTGCGTTTGAATTTTTCCCGCATTATTCGTGCAAGCTCAAGAAATCAGAAATTTAAAAAGTTGAATGAGTTTTGTAACAATATAGTTGCCAAATATCCCTCTACTATATTTAACTCGGATGATTTTACTTCATTGCCTGATGATTTTTTAATTTCAATTTTGAAGAACGATGATTTACAAATGGAAGAATCGCAAATTTGGGACAAAATAATTCAATGGGGGAAAGCGCAAAGCATCACTTTACCGAGTAACCTTGAGCAATGGTCCAATAACGATTTTATGGCTTTGAAAAACAACTTACAAAGTCTTTTACCGCATATTCGATTCTTTCAGATTCCTAACAAAGACATAATTTATAAAGTCAAACCTTATGTTCAAATTCTGGATCCAAAGCTCTGGGATGACATATTTTGTAGAATTGTAGACCCGAGTTATCCTGTTTCCTCGCCTATCTTACCACCTCGTACCACCGCAAAAGCTGAATTACCAATCCGAGAAGGTATATATTGGAATAATTTAATTCACAATAATACAGGTAATATCAAATACGTAATATGAACATGCACGTTATATATTAACAATTAATTACTTTTACTTTATATGATTGAGATGTACGTTGCATACATTTTATAATAAAAAAAAACTTTACTATCTAATTGATTTTATAATACTAGTTCCAGGTATTTATGCGGATAATTTGACAATGAGCCTTTGTTTTTTATGGCATGATTTGTTGATAATTGCTCTATTACGTGTTATTATTACTTTAGGTCATATTAAGAAACCATTCATGTGTTTATGGCTTCAAGTGCTTTACTGATTATTTTACGTATAAACTTTATTAGAAAGTATGTTAAATCGAGCATTTTATTGTTTATTATTAATTATAATATTAACTGATTTTATTAATTATTGTTTACTATGTTACATATATAGCGTATGTCTACATAAAATACTTTTTTTCAAGTATGTTTGCACATATTTAATTATATTAACTAACGCCAACATTTAGGCCGTAAGTAGAACCAAATATAGTATTGTTGTCGATGAAATTGCACAAATATGTTCAGGTTTATTAATAATCGTTAACTTTTGTATCTTTTATTCTAATCACTGTTATAGTGAGTAAGTTAAAATAAGAATACTTAATTTTCTTTATTTTATAAATTATGGAATGAGTTCTACTTATGCTAATCACCGTTATAGCGAGTAAGTTAAACTAAGAATATTTTCGTGATTTTTAAAAATTATATGAAATGATTTCTAATTATACTGACCACTTTTATAGAAAGTAAGTTTAATTAAGGATATTTTCGTGTTTTTAAAAAATTATATGAAATGATTTCTAATTATACTGATCACTGTTATAGCGAGTAAGTTAAATTAAACATATTTTCGTGATTTAAAAAATTCTATGAATTGATTTTTAATTATATTCACTACTCTATAGCATGTAAGTTAAATTGAGCACATTTTCGTGGATTTTTTGAAATTATATGAAATTATTTCTAATTTACTGATCACTGTTATAGCCGGTAGGTTTAATTAAGCATATTTTCGTGGATTTTTAAAAATTATATGAAAGGATTTCTAATTATATTGATCACTGTTATAGCGAGTAAGTTAAATTAAGCATATTTTCGTGATTTTTAAAAATTACATTAAATGATTTCTAATTATACTGATCACTGTTATAGCCCGTAAGTTAAATTGAGAACATTTTCGTGGATTTTTTAAAATTATATGAAATGGTTTATAATTATACCGATCATTATTATAGCCGGTAGGTTTAATTAAGCATATTTTCGTGGATTTTTAAAAATTATATAAAGGATTTCTAATTATATTGATCACTGTTATAGCGAGTAAGTTAAATTAAGTATATTTTCGTAATTTTTAAATTTACATGAAATGATTTCTAATTATACTGATCAGTTATAGCTTGTAAGTTTAAGCATATTTTCGTGGATTTTTAAAAATTATATGAAATGATTTCTAATAATATTGATCACTGTTATAGCGGGTAAGTTAAACCAAGAATATTTTCGTGATTTTTTAAAATTATATGAAATGATTTCTAATAATATTGATCATTGTTATAGTGGGTAAGTTAAACCAAGAATATTTTCGTGATTTTTTAAAATTATATGAAATGAGTTCTACTTATGCTAATTACCGTTATAGCAAGATAAATTAAGTATATTTTCTGATTTTTAAAAATTACATGAAATATTTTCTAATTATGCTGACCACTGTTATAGGAAGTAAGTTATATTAAGCATATTTTTAATTATATTTATAACTATCATAGCAAGAAATGATTTTTAATTATGCTGATCACTGTTACAGCTCGTAAGTTAAACTGGGCATATTTTTATGATTTACAAACTCTGAAATAAGTCCTAATTATGCTAATAACTGTTATAGCTTATACATTAAATAGGGCATCTTAGTGATTTTAGTATATTTATATGAAAGAGTTCTATGTTAATATTTATTTTTATCAAAAGTTAAACTAGACATATTTTTATGATTTTAATAAGCTATATTTATCCTGATCATCTTTATAGCACTTTTTTTTTGATTTGCAAAATTACATGAAATAGGTTCTAATCTTGCGAGTAAGTTAAATTAAGATGCTTTCAAGATTTTGCAAAATTATATGAAAATATTTACGATTACTGATTGCTGTTATAAAAAGTAAGTTGAAATATTTAAAAATTATATTAAATGCCTAATTAGGCTATTGATTTTAAAATAAAATTATACGAAAAGATCTTTAATAATACTAATAATTGTTATATAAAGTGAGATCAGTTAAGCTATTTTTATTTTAAAAAATCACAAAGTAATCTCAAATGCTCAAACTACGAATCATGATATTGTTTGTCCGTTCCCTTAGCCCGTAACTCAAACTAAACTAATACGTATACGGTTGTTTAATTATTAATTATAAATTTTTTATTTCGACATTGTTTCTATCATTCGCTTATGAAATTTAAAAGAAAATTTAAAGGTTTGACCATTTGTCGATTTTTGTAATAACTCCAGTATAATTACGAAACTTTCTTTCGGCCATGCATAGACCATAAGTTCCTATACGTGATTGACTGCTTATCCTTATGGATTGCGATTGGATAATATTTGGTATGATTTATTTCACTTATTGCTGACTACTCAGTTGACCCAAGCAACATGTAATCAGCTCAAGAATGCCTTGTTTATTTAATATGACATCAAAAAAAGATTCCAGGCGGCTATCAATGAGCATGTTTTCGCGTACTTACTAGTAATACAAAGGAAAAAGAAATACGCCTCGGAAAATACAATCAACGATACCACTTAATTGTTGGACAGGATTCCATGTGCCATATTCACTACGTACGTGCAAATTGCAGAAAATAACACTATTATAAGAGCATTGGCACAAGCAAGAAAACTGAGCAAAGGTAAAAGTAAAAGAGAACCAGTTGTATGGAATATGCATGGTATACTTTTTCGTGCTGCAATAGATTTATATTTGAACCTCAGTATATAATTGTTAATAAAATAATATATAAGATATCAAGATTGTCTTTTCAAACGTATATAGAAATTCAATAAAGTTCTTCGTTAAAATCAAAGAGTTGAAAGTGTTATGCTTGTTTTTGTCCAAATGATTTCGATTTTGATCTAGAATATTTCTTTCATTTATAGTTAATCCAGACTAATCTCATACACAAATAAAGAGTCAAGAAAACAGTGGCTACTATGTTAATTTCTTGCTGGATAACATTACGAATTAATTAATGAGCTTAAAGTGGAGACTGGGCTTTTTATTTCATCTTGTGCTGAGTATATAGAATTGAAGCTGTACATAAACTCGGATTCACTGTATCTGCCACAACCATCAATAATTACAAATCCAAATTTTGAGTATACGTAACACTAATATACTCAAATAACTTAAAATTATTAACAAACACTAAATAGTTTTTTTGATACTACTTATAGATTATAAACCTATGAATTTGCAACATTAATGACTTTCATACAATCAAGGAGAAGCGTCATCCTGCACCGTGTCAATATTCACTACTGTGTATATTGCCACGTATCTAGGTTGTTTAGCAGTATCAGTTAATTTTAACGAAGCAGCATTTTTTAATCCAGCAAATATAGATTGTGTTGATATTTGTAAACGATTACAAGAGCTATTTTGTAGCATATTTAATATACTTTATCTTATATACAGGAAAAAATCAATGGCATCAAAACATATTTGATACATTTTATCAAATTGGGCTTCTTACTGTATATTGTTATAATGAAGCAATTGAAAGCATTGTTCAATAAAAAATTTTCGACTTGTAGACATTCAAGTGATGTGATAAGCCTGCATCAAATAAATAATTATTTAAAAGAATTGATGATATTGTAAATTATTTGCAAGGTCATATTAGCCAATTGTAGCTGACTGACCTGGGTAACTTTCGTTCGAAAATACTTATTTTATAAAAAAACTATGATATGCATTCCATATTAAGACTCTAAGGATTTATTAGAATTCTTAATCCATTGCATTTGTTTTTTAACTGTAGAGAACTGATTACTGATCACTCATTTTTAAGTAGCTTTTTTATTCAACTTTGAGAAAAAAAATGAAAATTTTGGCAAGCAAGTCAAAGTATTGACATATTAAATTTTTTCTGGAACTAACAAGCAGTAGATGGTTAAGAATAAAGAAAATAATGTTATCAAAATTTGAATTATTATGTAAAGACTTAGAATACTGAACACCAATAATATATTAGACAATATTATTCCAGCTATTATTGACTTTTGTACTATACTTTTCATTCAGGTGTCTCTGATGAATATGTAGAGATAACACTTTAAATCTGAACTTTTGCTTTGAGTCGAAAAGAAATATTTATAATAAAGCGCCACTTGATTTTTTGTCAGAAGTTTTTTATTGGAAATATGTTCTATATCCATTTGGAGATATAATTAAGTACCCCTTTGCTTATTTAAATGATTACTATGTTGAAAGCATACATAGTAAGATACGATTGCACATTCCACCCCAGCTTGCAAAGAACAAATACAAAAAGAATCTAAAAATACTGTAGACTTCTATCAATCATTTGATCTTTTAATGCCTTGCTATTTATAATATAACCTATAAATAGAAAAATTTCTATAATTTATCTGTTCTTAGGAAATCATACATAAAACCAAGACATTAACAATACAAATAATCCCCTCTAGACCTTCTGATTAATAAGAATATTCTGTTTCAGATAGAATATTTTCTTCAAATTTTGAACTATAAAAGCATTTTGTGGGAACTCTAGAATGATTACGTACTAGTGAACATCTCAAAACAAATATGAGAAAACATGGAAAAATGACTATAGTCCCGATCTAAATATCAAATATAATCAAAAAATCCAAAAAATATATAAACTTACTACATTTGATAAAGTAGTAGAATTTGCAAAGCATCCAATGGGTAACTCATCCTCCGCATATAATTCCGTTTAAAAAGTAAAATGTTAGTTTGTAAAAGCACCTGGCCATAGTACTTATTTGTGGTCATAATTATCACAAAGATTACAATTACGTTATAATTGTGAGCAGTTCTAGAAGAAAGGACAATGTCAACAGTTACTAAGACGTTTGGAAGCAGGTGCAGGTACATGGAAAACAGAAGATGGTTATGATCGTAAACAAAATATAGATCACGGCAGATACTGACCAGAAAAATGTGGCGGGTAAAATTTCCAGAACTGCATAACATGTAGACATCCAGTTCAGAATTATCATGAAGTAACAAAGACTAACCACTTACTGTATAAGATTGCAGTACAATAAACAATGAAATAAATTCTTTATAAAGAATACCCAAATCGGAGATCATGATTCGGTGCTGAGTTTTGAGAGTTCATTATTGAAAGTCATTCAAACTGTATTCGTCACTCAGATGATCCGGCATTCTGTCGACCAACAAAAAGTATCCCTTCTCAACTCCAAATTCTGCTAGATACCAGCTAGTTGCCAGAAAGCAAGTACAGAAGCGAACTTTGTGACAAAGTTTTGCTTGTAAAAGCTTAGTTATTATATTACTATTAAAAGTACTCTGAACGCAATACAAATGGTTACATAACGATAGAAATCTACCCATGCTTTCACGTAAATTCTTGAATTTAACTGATTGAGACGAAGTCACTGAAGGGCTACTGTCGCGAAGATTGACTTAATAATGATTCATTTATATAATATCTTTGTTTAAGGTTAGAATTATTATGTAATGAATCATAATAAAGAATAACGTGAGTTTGTGATTAGAGCACGGTTGCGTGCTCTTCTCATAGTGTGATATTTGTGATGAGAACAAAGCTGCATACTCTAATAATATGTTGTGTTTGTGCTTAGGACGCGGCTGAATAATCCCGCAATGTGTGATGTTTAGAACTAGCTGCTTATTCTCACATTTAGTGTTGGAGTATGAAAGTATTGACTACAATGCATTTTCTAGTAATAGGCAGCACACACATTTTATTCATCGATTTTTTTTTAAAGAATAAACTCTCCAAGAAAACTAAAGAATCAATACTCTATATAAAGATCAAACAACAATAAAATATATTTTTTAAGAAGTAGAACTTAATAAAAACTAAAGCTAATACAATTTTGTTAAAAAAAAACCTTCCATGAATAAACAAACTTCAACTTTAAAAAAATCCTTCAAAATACATAAAAATTTTATAAATTCAAACTCAGAACAGAAAACAATCTATGATGTTACCACTGACTTGATAAAATTGAATAAAATTATGCACACCCCTTTTAAAATAAACAAATATTATAATAAATAGCAACAAGTTTGATAAAATATTATTTGTAGTAAACACACATAATATAAACCGGATATGTGGATGCATAAATAATTCAAATATAGAAATAAATATTGATAAATAATCACAATTTCCAAAAGAAAATAAATCCAATCCTGTTGAGAAAACTAACTCAGAAAAATAAATAAAAGTTGACAAAGAAAAAAACCAGAGTAAATATACTGCAAATCTAAATTAAGGTTATAATTTGATAAATAAAGTCATATATAACAAGGAAAAAGTAAAGTTGAATACTATAATATATTTATTTTAGGAAAAACAATAGATTAGAAGCTGGCTTATATATAAAAAGTTATAAACTTATCAAAAGCCTTATTAATATCTATTTTAGAAAATTAAAAAAAAATATTTTTAAATTGATAAATAATAGATTATGTTATTAATAGTATTACACTTAATATTAATAATCAAATTTTATAATATTTTTAACTAGCTGTCAAGCCAATATGACTTGTCTATTTTATTGTAAACATATTTGATATTTACATATTTTATGACTTTCACATATTAACTCACCCATACACAAAGTTTAACCTTCTCTAGATACAATTTAAGGGATGATATTTTGCTCCTTTTGTGATTTGAATTATTCTCTAGTTACTCAGATTATTGCCTACAGCTCATTATTGTAGATCTTTCAAAGTTTTAACTCTTATTAAAAACCAAACCAATTAAAACCTTTGAATATTAAACTATTTATTATATCTATTATATTGTATTTGAACTTCATTTATTCTGATTCTTCTTCTTTTTCTATTATATTTCTGGAGAGAAAAAAGGAGGAGTGATTGGCTTTCTTAGGGACTCGATCCATTTTTCTAGTCATATCAGTTGATACTCTAAACCTTTTGAGTTTGCTAATAATTTATTGATTTTGTTCCCATTCAATAGTGCTTGTTCCAGACTTTCTTCTTGAATGTTTTTCTTATTTTTTACAAATTTTACCAATAGCCTCTTGTGTTGTTGTCATTAAGATCATAAAAACTTTGAAATGCTCTTCTAAGATCTTGGTTTTGTCTCTGTGTATAAAGCCACAAACTGTATTATATAAGCTTTCATCTTATTGTTTAATGTTCTGGATCTATTTCACTATTACTCTTTTAACTTCTGTTTGGCTTTCGTCAGATAGATTTTTTGTTTTCCTGATATATTGAAGAATTTTACTTTGAGATTTGTCCCATATAATTGATTTTTCACTTTGAATCTTGAAACATTCAAAGTAATATTTCAGGATTTCTTCTTATGATTTGCATATTGAGTATGTTATGTTTGGATATAAGTCTAGTTTTATTTTCTATATCACTTGAAGGGTAGGAAGCTTATCATAGGTTAGATTTATTAGAAAACTTTTATCCTTGTTGATACTAAAGGAGGTGTAAAAAGTATTGTTTGGATTGAATTGTTTTTAGAAAATTTACCAGTCAATTTTTTTTACTAGAGTGTAAATATTAGTCTTAAATATATTTTTGCTCAGTCCAAGCTAGTTTTATTTTCTGTATATTCCAGTTTTTAAGAAAATCTTTAATACTAATATCAATAGTATATTTCTTCCAGGCTACTATTGTGAAAACATGATCTAAATCAGATATTTATTATCAAATCAAAGTGTTTAGAGTATCAA